TACAGGTTCCCTTGTCTCTACAGATTCCTGTGAGCTCAATGAAGTGTTCTGGAATCTCCATTATTTGCAATGCTATCCATATTTTTTATGATCTACATAGTTGAATTCCTTTGCATCCTTAATAAAAGACAGGTTAACATCTCTGATATACGAGAGGCAATTTTACATCAGCAATTATTATAGTAGATAACATATTTTATTAGATTTAGTATTTCTCCCCTTACAATTTTTTAGCACAAAATCCTGATATCTTCTAAGCCTCCTGTTTTGGCTCAAACCCTTTCAAAAGAAGTAGGGATTCCTTATAGAATCCAAGATTCCTTATAGAGACCAAGAGATTAAAAAACTGACTGGAGCCAATCCAAGGGCCTCCGTTTACTTGCATTATGGGCTCATGGACAGCATCCATTATGGGAGTCATTATGGGGACTCTTGTTCTATCAGATAATAAATAACTTTGGCTGACATGAGTTACTTAGATGACCTTACATACCTGAAACACATAGTTAGATTGCTGCTGTTGTGTGTACCAGATAGTATCTTTCTGCTAAGTGGTGGCAGTTTGATCTGATAATGAGCTGGGAATACCTGCTTAGCTAAGGTGTGACCATTTTGGAGAATTAGCCAGTGTCCCTACACTCCATCCCAACACCCTAAATGGCCCTTTTGATCTTAGCATCAATCTTCCAGATTATCCCTTAGACCTAGGTGTTGAAGATGTGAAGCCAGACTACAACATTAATAAATTCCACAACAAAAGACTACCACAGACAAAGAATTTCCAAGATGGACAGACACTATGGCATGTGGAGGATAAAGAAAGGGGTCAGACAGAGCTGGATAGAATAATTAGCTTGTAAGGGACAAAAGAGGGGCCACCCCCAGCCCAAACTGGTTCTGATAGTCTTGGTCTTGGCTGGAGCAACTTCCCACTGCAGCCTGACACTGAAGATGTTGACATTTCTCCATATACCCCACAGTCTGGCTGACATTTCACATCAGTAATGATGACAGCCAGCTGGCAAGAAAAACATTACTAGAAACACTAGGGTTGAAAAGGCAGAGAAGTGAGAGGCCCTAACATTTCAAGCAAAATACATACAGTGATACGAGATATGCTTAAAGTGATAGTGGACTGGGCCATCCCCAGACTTACAATACCTATATGAATTATCCTGACGGGCCCTCTTGGGAATGCCAGTGTAATCCAACTTTAGAACTGCAATGTTCCACAGGCTTAAACCTGGGGTCCCTTTAGGGATCATCTCAGCACTGGGATTAATCACCCTCAAGCTTCAGGTTGATGTTGGCTATAACCATGGTGACCACCTGAAACCCTAACTCTAGCCCTTTTCCCCAACAGGCCAAAATACTGAACCATTGAGGGCCGATTTGCCATGTCCAAGGGAGGGAGACACCAGCCCTCCTAGTAGCTAAATCCTGGGGCAATAGCAAGAGGAGATTGTTGGAGCCTCTGGTAGAGGCACAGTCTATTTCTCATCCTTGCCAGATACCTGAATTCTTATAGGCTTCTGCAGCCCTTGAATTAATAATTGATAGGCACTGTGTCGTTTTGCTGTCGATATTCATTGGTATATTGCAGGTCCTTTTGCAGTCGCTTAGTCTGTTGTTGCAATGAATGGATGTCATGTCACAGTACTTGCTTCAGGATTCCATTCATCAGTCAATGAATCTTACAGCAGTGGGATTATAAGGGATGTGAAAGTGCCAGCCATGCTGTCGGCCTAGTCCTGTACTTCATGGTTCAGTGAAGGGGGTTCCCTTGGTCACTGTCAACATCTGTTGAGATGCCATAGGTTGCAAGTTCACAGATGGTAGATCATTGGGTCTATCACTTTCATAGATAGAGTTGCAGCAAGTCCACACCTGAGGGTATAACAGCAATGGTCAGGCATGTGGAAGTAGCCTATGTAATCTACTTGCCACCATTTGGAAGGGTGTCTGCTTTGAGTATTTTGCCCAGCAGCTGGGTGACAGGCCTCAGGCCTATGCCTTTTCAGCAGCAGTTGGGGCAATCCCTGCAGGCCCCTATAATTTGATTCATAAAAAGAGATAGGTCCATCACTTTGGCAGTAGTCCAAAGGGTCCATTGTCCTTCATGTCCTGTCTTTCTGTAGAGCCATTCTTCTATCTGTTCAGCTGGAGCCTGCTGTATGGTGAGAAGTGAAGTTTGCTCATCTGCCTAGACATTTCCTGGTGGAGTGAGTAGGCTGTGGTCTAGTACATGAAGTACAATTATGTTCATGATTTGTACTCATCCCAGATATTGTTCCATAAATCTACCCCCAACAGGACCTGATGGTCCATAAGTCAATCCTGTTTTTTTCCATTGTTATAACTGTACTGTGAATCCTTTGTATGCCACCCAGATATCAGTGCATAAAGTTATAAGGCTGAGTTCATGCATCAGGACCATCCAGACAGCACTTATCTCAGCCTATTGGTTGCTGTACCTCTCCAGCTATAGAGCTG